TTTCCTTTCAAGAGACAGAGCCTGCCAGAGAATGAAACAACTGAAAGCGGAGCTGTGAGCTGCTAATCTCTGCTGAGTCTGAGCACTTCAGTCCAGCCCGCCTGAGGCTGTACCACACACCTCTACACCTTTCATTTACAGGAGCTAAGTACCTTTCTCCTAAGCTAATGTGAATTGAGTTTGTCAGAATCCTCATTACAGTTGCTGTTTCTCCATTTACCAACTTTATATACTCTTTATAAGTTTTTTATGAAAAATAAGCACTTAACTCATTCCACAAAGTGAGTTATGTATTAGCTCCTCTAATGTGTTTTAACTTGAAATATAGCTAACCTCTCTTTCTTCTTGTATCGACTTTAGGCAGATCTCTTGAATCCCATCTATGTACAATGAGAATATTGCCCCTCATCCTTGCTTCAATCTCTCATTTCCCTGTCAACCTGCCACCATCCAATCTATTTGCTATATTCTGCCTTTTACATTATTAAGGACATATTAGATCTCTACGCATACAGAAACAGAGAGGCTTCAGCTCTGTCTGTATATTTTAAAGTTGCAAAAAAAATAGTATTAGATCATTATCACCATATATATATTACTCTCTGAAGAGTCAGAGCCAAGCAGTGTGTGTAGATTACATTTCCTTCTCTACAGGTCTAATATTATGATCCCAGTTACCCACTTAAAGGAGTCTATTCCTGATATCAGTCAAATGGATTTTCTTTCTTTATATTCTAGTTATTTTACAAAATCATGTCACATTTTATGGGGACTTGCTTTATATGAGGTCCATGATGTCTGGTATGGCTGCTTTGTTTTTCCTAGAGCCAATTGCCTTATCTTCCTCTTTCCTTAAGAGCAAACTTCTGTCTTCATCATATTGCTGACATCTTCTAATTGCATACTAATTCTGTTTAATGTAACTGATTCCATTCTGCCTGAAGGTTTTCTTCACTGACTCCCTGGATTCCTAACCTACCAGTAATTTGGTCTGATTTTTGCAGAATGGTCATCGCCATCATCCTTAACACCACTTGCCGAGGTTAGATCCACTATTTATTGAAGGATTTCCTGCTGCCTTCTTCTTCCTTTTCCATCTAAATTTTGCCAAAGCTAATCCTTTAAAACCCCAATAAGGGACAAGTGGGAGTAAACTGAAATAAACTGAATATACAAATTATCAACATTTGGCCTCATGTTTTATTGTTTTGGTAAAGGCTTCTAGATTCAAAGTAATTTTAACCTCATAACTTGGAAGTTGCTGTTCTGTATTTCATCTTATATTGTTCGTGAGAGGGAGGGCTAAAACTATCTTGATCTATAGGTGACATTTAGATGTTTTGAAAGTTTCCAGAATGGTCTCATCTTTAGTATTCTGGAATTTCACAAGCATGTTTCTAGATGTCTTTTTTTCTATTGTAGTCGTGGTTTTTGCCTGTTCACCCTGCCCCACATTCAGTGAGCCATTCCAAGCTGAACCTAACTTTCTTTAGTTTAGGAGTCTTAATCATTTATTTGATACATCCTGTTATATTTTCTCTGTTAGTTTCTTTCTGGAACTTCTATTAGTTGGATGTTGGACCTTCTAAACTTCCATGTTTCTTTTTGTCTCTTGTTTTAATTTATGACCTTGGAGGGTTTCCTTAGTTTTCTTTCAAACCTTATATTAAGTTTATTACAGCAATATCTTTTCCTCCTTAGGAGTTCTGTCTTATCTACTTCTCTTTTTGGGTAGCTTCCCATATTTGTTTTAAAAGTGCAACATCTATCCAAATCTCAGGCTACCATAAACTTTGTTTCCTTCTCTTATTACATAACTTCCCCACTGTGGGTTTATTCTGTCTCTCAGTCTTTATTATGCTGATAGTTTTTTTCATATGTGATGATCCTTAGCTCTCTGTTCACATTTATGAATGATATGGTTTGACTATCCTAGGTAGATAGCAGGGGCCTCTTTGGATATTTTCCCTGTAGATCTGTTTCCCTGAAAGGGAAGAGTTACTGGGATCTCTGTATGCATGGGAAGGGCTGGTGAGTCAATGAATCTCCAAATTCCACGAAGGTTTCAATTTAGGCCACCAACTTAGTTCTTCATAAGTTCATTCAATTTTTCATAGTTTAAAATTTTTTAATTGTATTGTTACATTCTTGTTTAAACTTCCAATGTTACAGATAACACTAAATCCCTCTTTTTTCTTTCTTTTTTTTTTTTTTGCTGAGGAAGACCAGCCCAGAGCTAACATCTGTTGCCAATCTTCTTTTTTGTTTGTTTGTTTGAGGAAGATTAGCCCTGAGCCAGCATCTGTGCCAGTCTTCCTCCACTTTGTATGTGGGTTGCCACCAGAGTGTGGCTGATGAGCAGTGTAGGTCTGCACCTGGGATCTGAACCTGCCAACCCAGCCTGCCAAAGTGGAGTGCACTGAACTTAACCACTATGCCACAGGGCCAGCCCCTAAATCCCCTCTCACCCAGAATATCCAATCCCACTCCCCTCCCCAGAAGAAACACTTAGGGGTCAGATGTGTCTGTTCAGAACTTTAAGCATTTCCATACTTATATAAATGTATTAGAACTATATTTTAAATATCTAATACTCTATTATTCTGCAAAATTTGCTTTTTCAATGTCTTTTAGTGACATCAATATTATCAGTCCATTCTTTTAAACTGCTGCTCCAGCAGTATTTCTAGTCATGACTCTGTTGATGAGAATTTAGATTATTTCAGCATTAGATGTTCCAACCATATTCCCCTCCAAAGGGGTTACAGTGAACATTTAGAAAATTTCACTGCCTCCAAAGTGGCAGTGAAGAGGGTACTCATTTCTCCACAGCTGCCAAATTTGATATTACATTATTTAAATTTGCAGCTCTTAACACTAGCAGTGTTACACAAGGACTCATATTTATTGGCAATCTATATTCTTTTATTTGCCCATTCTCAACCTTTGTCCATTTTCATACTCCGTTAGTGTTCTGTACTTATTTATAGGTATTCTTACGTCTTCCCCTTTGTATTACAAATATTTTCTTCCTTTTGCTTTTAACTTTGTTTAAAAGCATGCTAACTTTTAATATAATCAGCTTCATTAAGCTTTTCCTTTTGGCTTTTATTTTTGTCTATTTTAGTAAGACATGTCCAACAGCAAAGTCACAAACATATCCCTACTGTATTTTCTTCTAATGCTTTTACTTATTTACTTTAACATTTAGGATTCATTAAACTGGAATTCATTTTTGTGAATGGTGTAAGGGTCACATTAAATTTACTTATAGAAGAGATAGTGGAGTGGGGAGGCTGTTAGCAGGGGGTGCTAACATAACTTTCACCTAGAAAAGCATTTAACAGTCTTGTCATCATGTCTCCTTATTACCCACAGCCTCTACATAAGCCACTTCGAAGCCTGAACTTCTCTAGGAATTTTTTGGGCAGATTGGCTCCCATTACTGAAATCCCTAACATTCAAACATTTCAGGTAGAGCTGCTTCTGCTACATTTCATGGATCAATACTCTTCTCCCTTTTGTCTTTTACAAAATTTAACTCTTTCATGCACTGATGGCCCTTTCTTATGTGCTTTTTCTTTGCTACCTTTTACATTATCTGCTTAATGGGATATCGAGGGAAGATAAACATGTGCTTGTTAACTGCAAAAGAAAATCTCGGTTTTCCCAGTGAAAATTGATACTGACAAGTTGCCTTCAGAAAGGTTTTACAGGGGCCGGCTCCATGGCCAAGTGGTTAAGTTTGTGCCCTCCGCTGCGGCGGCCCAGGGTTCAGATCCTGGGAGCAGACATGGCACTGCTCGTCAGGCCACGTTGAGGCAGCATCCCACATCCCACAACTAGAAGGACATGCAACTAAGATATACAACTGTGTACAGGGAGGGTTTGGGGAGATAAAGCAGAAAAAAAAAAAAAAGGTTTTACAAATTCATACTCCTTCACATCAGTGCATACAAGTATCTCCTTTCCTGTGCTTTTGCACTGCACACTTATCAATGTGATATTGAAAAATGGGTAGTTCATTGGTTTAGCTTGTATTTCTTGTGATCCTAATGAGACTCAGTACTTACTACATGTTCATCAGTCATTTGCTGCCTCTTTATATCCTTTACCCATTGGGGGAGGAGAAGTATCATTTTCTGAGTGATTTCGAGGAACACTTTTATCCTGAGGATATGGATTTCATAAGTTACATATGTAATAATTTTCTCCAATTCTGATGTTTAAAAACCTTTTCTTTATACTGTTGTTGACTATATAAAAACTTAATAGAGGTCTTACACAGTCAAACCTAGAATCTTTGTGTGTTTTGCTTCTGGATCTCATGTCATGTTTAGGAAGGTTGTTCTCACTCTGTGATTATAAAGTGTGTTACAGTGTCCTCTAATAACCGTTTCACATTTGGAAAAAGAATGAGGGGATTGTTTTTGTACAGAGCAGAATTAATTTTACCAATACTATTAAGCCACTGATATGAAACAGCACATTTTCCTTGTGTGTATATCTATAGGAATGTATATTTGTGTATGTTCACACGCAGTGTTTCAAACCTTAGAAAATTCTTTTTAGGATTTTGTTACGTACAAAGAGTTTGTAGGTTAATTTGGGGCCTGCTAACATCTGTATAATACTGAGTCTTCCCCTACAGAAGGATGAAATGTCTATTCAGGTCTTCCTTTTCATCCTCCATTAAACTTTCATTTTGTTTGTACCTATATTCATATGTGCATTGGTTACTGCACTGATTGCATTCTCAAAGCCTTCAGGAGTCAGGAAGCAATACAAAGTGTAAAACATGTTAGATGTCAGGGAACAGGGAGTGGTTTGAACTGTGGAGAACTGGAAAACAGATGCTCACCTAAAGGGATTCACGTTCATTTTAAATTTGATGTATACCAAACCAAACATGTTTGTGGGCAGCCAGTTTGAGTACTGACCTGTAATTTTGGTTTCTTTTCCTCTCTAGTTTTGGAATTACAGCTTAGAAGCTTAACAACTTTTTCTGTTTTAAATAGAATATGGTTATTCTATAAATATTTTATTTAAATAGACATAGGTTTAATACACTCATCCACCTGGAATTTGGAGAGGGGAGTTCAAACTTACACTTTATTTTCTATTCTTCTTTGGTTGTCGATCATTTTAAGTTTTCTGTCTTTTTTAATATCCATTTCACATTTGTTTCAATGTAAATGATTACACCTCAATAAATTCTACTTATCTTATTACAAGTGATTTTTAAAATCTGGCTACTTAGAACTGTTGAATATGTAATGAAGTTAGTTTTTCTTACCAACAAAGTCATATCCTATATATTCATGCTGAAATAGAAGCTACCATCTTACTCTGTATCATCCTACTGTATTAGATACCCTTGTCACCCATCTTTAGAACAGTGACTACTGTTCTTAATCAAAATTATTTACAATCTCTTGAGTCTTGAGCTGCTGCTTGTTATTTCTCAGCTGATCATTGCTGAGATGATCAGGTCTTCTTTGTATACCACAGTATCTTTTCATCTTACATTAATGTTTATTGAGTGATTACTTTATGCTAGGCACTCTGCTGAGCAATTTACATGCATTATCTCATTTAATCCTCCCATTAACTTTTGAGGTAGTACCATTATTATTCCCATAATATAAATAAGACTAAAGCTTACAAAGGACAAAATGTTCTCCAAAATTAGAGGGCTAGGAAATGGAAGAATAAGGATTGGAATCCAGATGTATTTGATGCTGGAATATGAGTTCTTAATTCTGGATAAGTATCTAAAGAATGAGATGGATACTGACATGAGATAGGGCTTTGGAAGGTAGACTGGAACAAAGTATTGGGGGTTTGGAGAAACTTCTAGGCTATTTTGAGGAATGTGTGCTTTAACCTAACAACTGTGGGATGCCAGTGAGGGGTTTTAATGAGGGAGAAGTGATATGCACAAACTGCTTTTAAATACAAGCAATGTGGACAATTGACAAAGGAAATGATAAATACAGGGAGAACAGTTAGAAAGCTATTTCCATAGTCCATGTCAAATAGATTACTGTGTATTGGACAAAGATGATGGAAATGGATTAAAGGAGTCAGATTCAAGGCATATTTAGGAGATAAAACCTAGAGGTCTTGGCAACTGACTGGACATGGAGGGTGAGGGAGAGGAAAGAGTCAAGAATGACTCCATAGTATGAATTCTCTCATGATGAGCAAGGTGTGCACGCTGCCTGAAAGATTTCCTGCAATCCTTACATTCATAGGGTCTCTCTCCAGTATGAATTCTTTGATGTAGAGTAAGAGATCCACTATAGCTAAAGGCTTTCCCACAAACATTGCATGCATAAGGTTTCTCTCCAGTATGAATTCGCTGATGTTGAGCAAGGCCTGCATTCTGGCTGAATGTTTTCCTACATTCCTTACACATATAAGGTTTTTCTCCAGTATGACTTCTCTGATGTTGTGCAAGTGATGAACTATTGCTAAAGGCTTTCCCACATTCAATACATTCATAGGGTTTCTCTCCAGTATGAACCCTCTGATGTTGATCAAGGTATGCAATCTGGCTGAAGGCTTTCCTACATACTTTACATTCATAAGGTTTTTCTCCAGTATGAACTCTCTGATGTTGAGCAAGGTGTGCATACTGGCTGAAGGCTTTCCTGCATTCTTTACATTCATAGGGTCTCTCTCCAGTATGAATTCTCTGATGTACAATTAGGTATCCACGATGGCTAAAGGCTTTTGCACACACGTTACATACATAAGGTTTCTCTCCTGTATGAATTCTCTGATGTTGGGCAAGAAATGAACCATTACTAAAGGCCTTTCCACATTCAATACATTCGAAAGGTCTCTCTCCAGTATGAACTCTCTGATGTTGAGTCAAGTGTGCAATCTGGCTGAAGGCTTTTTTACATTCTTTACACTGATAAGGTTTCTCTCCAGTATGAACTCTCTGATGTTGAGCAAGGTGTGCATTCTGGCTGAAGGCTTTCCTACATTCTTTACATTCATAAGGTTTCTCTCCAGTATGTATTCTCTTATGTTGAGCTAGGTTCGCACTCTGGCTGAAGGTTTTCCCACATTCAACACATGCGTAGGGTTTCTCTCCAGTGTGAATTCTCTGATGAAGAGTAAGAGATGAGCTCTGGTTGAAAACTTTCTCACATTCATTACATTTCAAAAGTTTCTTTTCTACATAGACTTTCTTATGTTTCATTTGAACAGGTTTTTTTTGGTAACTTCTCTTTTGTGGCTCATGCTTACGTACTCTTTCTTTGGTGGGAAAACTCTGTTTTATAGCAAATATTGCATCCTGATGGAAAGTTTGCCAGGACTTAGTGTATTCAGTACTTGGATTTTTAGAGGGCATACTTTTATGAGTGATCATCAGTTGGCTAGAATGTACCTTCTGACTTCCCGACTGTTTCTTAAACCAGTCCTCACTTTTACAGTCTTCTCTCCAACTGGTGCAGTCAAGGCTATAACTAAGATGGCTTCTTCCCATTGTTGCTACTCTGGATGATTCTTCATAAATAACTTGCTCTGATGAAAATTCATTGTTTTTAAGTGCATACTCCCAATCTAAAAGATATCAAGAAAACAAATGTCTTTTGTATTTATGCATTAGAGAACTTCTAAAACAAAAATTCGTGAATAAAATATATAAGAAGTTGGAGGAGTTAACTGCTGTTAAATAAAATCTAAAAAGTATGAGATATATTAAGAATGAGAATTAAAGAAAGTTGATTAAGGAAATAAATTAATCATATTTAACTAGTAAGGTGAATATCAGAAAAATTTTTAAAAGTCATCTAAAATCACAATCATCATTTTCTATCTATAATAATATAACAGTCTCCAAACACCCTTCCTGTCCTGCCTCAGATTATCCTGCATTCAAGCTAAGTTCACCATCTTTAAAAAACCAATTTCATAATGTCATCGTGGCTAAAAAACCTCCATAAGATCACCAGACCCAAAGACACACCAGGTACTATTAGTTGCCTTAGGTTGTACATGAAAGTCTATGGTTAAACTTCTGCAGCCTGAAAAATGTCTTCCTGGATATAATTTTCTTGGTGATACATTCCAACCAAATGTAAATTTTCAACTGATCACAAAGCTATGGTGCCTTTGTACAGAAGTAATTTTGTATCAAATTGCTTGATTTTATTAACCCACACTGGACTTAATTTTCCTTCCCCTTTACATTCCCAAATCAAATCACCTGTTTTGCTCAAGACTTTCCAATGGTTTCTCACCACATTTATAATAAAACTAAAATTCCTATCATGCTTTACAAAGCCAATGTGGCACATGAACATAAATGTAAAATCTTTAATAAAATTATAGCAAATCAAATCCAGGAAACATGAAAGCATAATCATGACCAAGTAGAGTTTATCCCAGGAATGCAAGATTTGTTTAATATGTGAAAATCAATCAGTATAATTGACCACATTAACAGATTAAAGATGGAAAATCATATGATCATTTCAATAGAAGTAGAAACAGTATTTGACTGAATTCAACACCTGTTTATTATAAAAACTCTCAGCAAACCAGGAATAGAAAGGAACTTCCTCAAACTGATAAAGGACATCTAAGAAAAACCTGTAACATCATAATGGTGAAAGACTGAACACATTTTCCCTTAAGACTCAGAAAAATGCAAATATATCTGCTCTTACCAATTTTCTTCAACATTGTACAGGAGATCCTAGCTATTGCAATAAATCAAGAAAAAAAAGGCATAAGGATCAAAAAGGAAGAAATAAAACTATATTTGCAGATAACATGATTGTCTATGCAAAAAATCTTAAGGAACCCACAAAAAAACTACTAGAATGACTACTAAATAAATCTAGCAAGGTCATAAGATATAATGCTAATATAAAAATTAATTTACATGTTCGCATCCTAGCAGCAAACAATTGGAAAATGGAACGTTTAAGAATTCTATTTATAATAGCATCAAAAAAACCCCATAAAAGACACGGGGAAGGTGCCTGCCCTGTGGCCAAGTGGTTAAATTCAGTGCGCTCCACTTCAGCAGCCCAGGTTTGGTTCCCAGGTCAGACCTACACCACTTTTCAGTGGCCATGCTGTGGTGGCGACCTACATGCAAAATAGAGGAGTACTGAGACAGATGTTAGCTCAGGGGGAATGTTCCTCAAGCTAAAAGAGGAAGATTGGCAACAGATGTTGGCTCAGGGCCAATTTTCCACAGCAAAAAAAAAAAAAAAGAAAGAAAAAAAGAAAAAAATTTGTTAGATATATAAGACCACTACACAATACTACAGAACATTGCTAAGAGAAATTAAAGAAGACTGTAATAAATGGCTAAATAAGCTATATTTATGAACTGGAAAATTCAATGATGTTAGGATGTCGGTTCTGCCAAAACTCATGTATAGATTCAACATAATCTCAATCAAAATCTCAGCAGGCTTTTTGGGTAGAAATTCCCAACTTTATTCTAAAATTTATATGGAAACACAAATGACCTAAGACAGTCAAAGTGATTTTACAAATTGGAATATCTGATATCAAAACTTATTATAAACGTACAGTAATCAAGACAGTAGGGTATTGGTGAAAGGACAGACATATAGATCAACAGAATAGAGTTCAGAACTAGACCCAGGCATAATATGGTCAACTGATTTTCAACAAAGGGCACTGGAGCAACTGTATATCCAAATGGGAAAAAAAAAGTCCTCAACCTCTACCTCACACAAGATACAAAAATTAGCTCAGTGGATCATGTATCAAAATGTAAAAGCTGAAATTATAAAATTCATAGGAGAAAATCTAGAAGAAAATCTTTGTGACCTGGGGATAGCAAGAATTTCTTAGATATGATACAAAAAGCTCCAACCAAGACAAATTAATAAATTAGAACTTTACAAAAGTTGAAAACTTTGGATGTTCAAAAAACAGCAGTAGGAACACGCCACAACTGGCATACATATACCCCAATACATACAAATGACAAAGGACTTGTATTAAGACTATAAAAAGAACTCTTACAATTCAATAATAAGAAAAATAACCCAATAAAACATGGGCAAAAGATTTGAACAAACACTTAACAAAAGATATATGAATGGCCAATAAGCACATGAAAAGATGCTCAATATTATTAGTCATCAGAGAAATGCATATTAAAACCACAATGAAATACCACAACACAACCATTAGAATGAATAAAATTAAAAATAGTGACAATACCCAGATATGATAAGGATGTAGAGCAACTAGAACTCTCATATATTACTGGTGGTGATGCAATGATACAGTCACTTTGGAAAACTATTTGGCAGTTTCTTAACAAGTTAAAAATAGTCCTACCACATGACTTAGTTTTTCTACTTTTAGATATTTACCTGAGAGAAATGAAAACATATGTCCACACAAAGTCCTGTACCTGAGAGCATCATAGCAGCTTTATTTATAATAGCCAAAAACTGGAAACAACCCAAATGTCACCAGTAGGAGAATGGAAAAAATAAAATGTGGAATATCTACACACTACACTACTCAGCAATAAAAGGAATAAACTATTCATACATGGGCAACAATATGGATGATTTTCAAAATCATTATGGTGAACAAAATAAGCCAGACGTAACAGAGTATATACTATATGATTCCATTTCGTTTAGATGCAAACTAATCTAAAATGACAAAGATTAGATTAAATATTTGGAGCCAGGAGTGGAGATGGTTTCACAGGTGTATACAACTGTCAGAACTCATCACACTGGATAATTCATATGGATGCAATGTACTATATGTGTAAATAATTCCTTAATAAGGTTATTAAGAAAAAAATATAGACGGAAACAAGAAAGGTAACTAAAGACAGACTTTGATAACATAATAAAAAGGTAAAACTCAGTATATATAACAAGCTCTTTACACTCAAAATAGAGACTACACCTTAGAACCTATACCAAACTATATATTAGGCTATACAAAATCTTCAAATTGTTAGAAAGTAGAATTAGTACTAATTATTGTATGATCAAATATGATAAAACAATTTGATCAAAATCAATAAAACCAGAAAACTTTCTTTTAAACAACTCCTGTTTAAAAGGGAAATTTTTAAAAAGTAGGTTATCTAGAAGACAGCAATAACAAAAACACTAATATCAGGATCTATGGAAGACAGCTGAAGCTATATTCAGAGGAAAATTCATAGCCCTTAATTTCTTTAGTGAATAAGAGAATGAAATGAATAGATTAAGCTTTCATTTCAGCAAAATGGAGACCAAAATAAACCTAAGAAAATTAAAAGGAAAGAATCTCTCTTAGTAAAGAGAAAAGCAGAAAATAGAGGACTGAATAAAAGAAGAATGGTAACACTAACAGATAAATCCATAAGCTAGATTTCAAAAAGAAAAGAAAATTGATTAATGAGTAGCAACTGAGTAATTTTTTAAAAAAATAGCTATACAAAATAAGAAATTAAAATTGGAAACTACTATAGCTATAAAAGAAGTAAAAATAATTATAAGATTATTTTGCTCAGAATCATGGAAATAAATCTGATAAGCTAAATGCAAAGGAAAATTATCTAGAAAAATAAAAATTTACAAAATTTAATGCAAGACTGAAACTGTCGAGAGTGCATTTACCAGAGAGGACATTGAGAAAGTTGTCTAAGATACACTTCCCCACAAAGGCCCCAATACAGGGTTTATATCTCAAACTCTAACACTAGTGATCTCATCCATTCACACTATCACCTCTAAATCAGACTTTTTTTCTGAGCCTCTGTCTCCCTCCAATGGCATGTTGCATTTCTTCACTTGGAAATCTCCTCATCTCACAAAAATAAGTTTCTTATGTCACAAGCCAAATTCACCATCTTTCCCCCTATCAACCTATTCTTTCTTCTGACTTGTTTCTATTAAACGGTATCACCTTCCAGTTACCCAGACTTCAAAATACAACTGGAAATGCTTTCTTTTTCCCTTTGATGGTTTTTAAACCCCTGAATAATCCCAAGAATTTAACAGAATGACTTTCTCAAAGTAGCAACTCAATGAATCTTGGTAAAAGAATAAGTGAATAAATAATCAACCTTTAATCTAAAAGGAATGAGTGACTGAAAAGGGAAAAAAAACAGGCATTGCTGTGTCTGGATTTTTAAAAATGTGATGGAGCAACTTGTGCAAAACTAAAAATCAAGGACAAGGAGATACTATGACATTTGGATCCAGAGAATAGGAAAAGGTTATCAGAGAAGACAGTAACGTGAGAGAATATATACAAGGAGATTAGGCTGGTGAGCTCATGCTAAAGATGCCTCAATGTTTCTTCCCAGGCCTTGAGCCTTTAAGAAAAGCTACCCGGGAAACATTAATTATGAGCTGGAACCTTTCAGAATAGCTAAGCTTTTCCTTGCCATGGCCTCTACCTCCCTAGTTCTCTCTCACTCACCAGGGCATGTGCCTCTTGTCCCCTCCTTCTTCACCATCCAGGGCTCTTTTCCTTGCTCCAATAATGAGATCACATCTGGCTTAGAAACTGAAACTCCTGCTTGCAAAAAATAAAAGGGTAATTAGCCAAGCCCATAAATCATATCAAGTTCCTGGTCATCAGGAAGGCATATTATAGAGGGGAGTTGAGGAAGAGATGAAGTATTCTAAGAATGGGGAGGATGAAGCTGCAGGAATAGTCTAATGAGGCTGCCAATTCTCAACCTATTTTGGGGAGCACAAAGAGAAATTTAACGAAGTACATCAGAGGCTTCCCAAACATTACGCTGGAGAGCAGCCCTGCATGTCGATTCTGCATTATGGGGAGATTGCCTTACCCAGTGACACCAGGCTTCTATAGTTCTCCAACATCACTTTTCTGTACAAATTCCTCTGAGCAGGGTTCAGCCATTGCCACTCCTCTTGAGAGAAATCGACAGCCACATCCCCAAATGTCACCAAATCCTGAAATGACATAAACGTATTCTTGCTCAACTAGTGTTCTTACCCTCATATGGGCATAGCTTAAAGAGTTAAATTGTCTATACTTTTAGAGAGAAATATTTCATATAGTGAAATTTTCTGGCAGTACCGTAGGTTCTGAGCAATACATGTCAAGTAATTGCTCGATGACTTTTCTGTGCTTAGTTTTGATATTCTGTCATGGAAAGTGTACAATTTCAGAAATAGTCTCTACTGACGAAGAAAAGATAACACAGAGAATGGGCAATAACAGAAGACTGTAAACAAGTGTAAAATATTAATATTATTCATACTAAATGCTAGAGCATTTCTCAATACGGAAAATCCCGATGGACTGGGGCAGTGAAGAAAGGAGGAGGCAGGAACATGAGTGAGTTAAGTCTCACAAGATATAAGTGGTCTAAACAAGCATTTTTCCAAACTCTACAATGGAATGGTCAGTGTTTCAGCTATATCATTAGGGTATATATATATGAAAATACATTTGATGCTTATAATATTTTTCTGAAATTAATAAAAATAGTAAACAAGTTTTACAGTGATTTTGCAAAAATATAACTTCTTCAAATGTATGTCATAACAGAGAACAATTGGTGTCAAGAAAAGATTATCTAACAGCCCTTGATAACCCCACTGTTTCAAAGACAGCTGGTAACTTATCATGCTACCTAAGAGACAAAACAATAGTAAATTTCAGGCACTATTAAATAGTAAACATTTCAAATGTGATAATGAAATGCATCAAAAAATACCTACAGCTCTCACTAGAGGAACATACCGACTTGTGCATGTTTCATGACCAAGGGTTTTTTTAATGTTACAGTACAGCTCGCAAATATGACTATGTTGAATTAAAGATCTTTATAACATGGAATAAGACCTAGTCTGCTCCCTAAAAATTCAAAATAGGTATTCTTACTAACGAGGTAAATCTGCTCCAGACTTACCAGGGCTTGCTGTATGGCTTGGTATATGCTTCTTAGGTATGGCATGTCACAGAGCAAAGCCTATGCTTGAGCTGGCTGATATACAGATGCACTCAATGGTACAAACCTGAACAGCTGAACTCACTTGTTAAGTATTGAAATACCACCACAGTTTGGTAAGCAGCTACTGCACTGAGCCCTGCTAGTGACCATCCCAGATCTCCCCCAAATCCAGCAGCTGAGGGGAATGCCCAGCATGGCAGCAGCCTCCACGATCCAAGCTGGGGTAAGTCTTGGTGTGTGCCCTTGCCTTGGTGCTTGTCAAATATGAACGTCACTCCTCTTCTTTGTGTGTATGTGTGTGAGGAACATTGTCCCTCAGCTAACATCTGTGCCAATCTTCCTCTACCTTGCATGTGGGAGGCTGCCTCAGCATGGCTTGACAAGCGGTGTGTAGGTCAGTGCCTGGGATCCGAACCCACGAACCCCAGGCCGCCAAAGAAGAGCGCGTGAACTTAGCCACTACGTCACCAGGCCGGCCCCCCTTCAAATATTTTTATATTTATTTTGATTTGATAAAACAGGAGTTTCATATAATTTTGTCATCTTTAAAGAAACTTAGAAAATAATGTCCAGTATTTCTACCCTCAGTGGATTTTTCGCCTTTTTAAGTTCAAGAATTGGAAGTCCTCCATGCCCCATACCTACTTACCATGTCAACCTTCATCCTAGAAGCAATCAAAATTTACAGTTAGTGTATATTTGTTCAGATGTTTCCTTACACAGACATGTCTATGATTGTCTACACCTATTCATTTATTTAACATCACTTATATTGAACGGATAATATTACCTGGTATAAATATGCCATGGCTTATTTACTAACCCCTTGCTTATTTTCAGTTAGATGAATCTTAATTTTCACTATGATGCTGCAAAAGTCTCTAATTATCTTCTTTTTTTTTTTTTAAAGATTTTATTTTTTCCTTTTTCTCCCCAAAGCCCCCCAGTACATAGTTGTATATTTCTCGTTGTGGGTTCTTCTAGTTGTGGTATGTGGGACGCTGCCTCAGCGTGGTCTGACGAGCAGTGCCATGTCCGCGCCCAGGATTCGAACCAACGAAACACTGGGACGCCTGCAGCGGAGCGCGCGAACTTAACCACTCGGCCACGGGGCCAGCCCCTCTAATTATCTTCTTAAAATAAATTCCTAGAAATTTTGTCTCTCCATTGAGACGAGGATTTCCCAAACTTACTTAACCTCAGAAAAAACTTTACACTATTTTGACCCAGTAAGAATAGGAGCTAATGAAAAAATAATTCAGGTTGGGAGTAAAGTGTTGACCTGTACTCAAAGAAATACTGAGAGGGGTTTTTCAGGTACAAGGAAAATGGAAGCATAGACATACAAGAAGAAATTAAGTGCCTCAAAAAACTAACTGTAAACTAAATATCTGCTAATAATATCTTGGAGTTAAACCACTATAGGAGTCTTGTTCAGGAAGTGCTAAGAGTACTGATTATAGAAAGAAGAAAGATTATTACATAATGAGTAATGGATACATGTTATCCTAGAGTGGCCACTAAAAGAATAATAAAAATAATGTATAATTAACTAGATAATAAGGAAAAAATATCTAACTTATCCAAAAGAAGGCAAAAAGGAGAAATAAAGGAACAAAGAACAGACGGGGTAAGTAGAAAAGGAACTGCAATATGGGGTAGACTTAAACACAGATGTATCAGTTATTCTATCAAGTGAAAGTGTACTAAACACTAATTGAAAGACCAAGATTATCAGACTAGATTTAAAAAACCAACCAACGTTTTGTGGGGAGACACAGGGAACTATGGAAGGTACACAGGGCTGAGTGCCCAGCTAAGAGCACGGGGGGAAAAGCCAACCAACCAACTACATGCTGTTTACAAGAGGCATACTTTAAATATAACCTTTAGAGGCAGAGGTTCTCAAAAGGTGTGCACTAAAATCATCCTGGGACTCAATAGAAACGTGGTTTCTAGGCCCCACCACCAGAGACTGTGATTCAGGAGGACTGGGTGGGTCCTGGAAACAAGTCGGACTGATGGGCTCTGTCTATTCTACACATCATTCCCTCTGCTTTCTCCTTCCGTTACCTATTCGTGGCAGGAGAGAAGGGCTCGCTGCCTCCCTGGTCACAGTCACAGACGAGGAATTCATTCCCTTTTTATTCATACATTAATTTGGTAAATATTTACTGAATGCCTACTACCTATACTGTTCTAAGAGTTGGGAATACAAAGGTGAACAAAATATAGCCCCTCCCCTTGTGGAGTTAATATTCTAATAGAGGAGAAAGACATTAAACATAAGGTCATACAATGTCGGGCAGTGTTAACTACTATGACAAAAAACCAGGTAAGGTGATTGAGAGTGACAGTGGAGTTTGTTTTAGATAAGATGATCAAGGTAAACCTAAATGAAGAGGTAATGTTTGAACAGCAATCTAAATAAAGTGGGAGAGCAACACGCCATCATCTAGGGAAGAGACTTACCAAAGAGGGAGGAGAAATGCAGAAGTTCAGAGACAGGAAAGAGCTTGGTAAAAACTTGTAGAAAATAAGGTCTGGCATAGCCAGAAGCCGGACCACCTGGGGCCTCATTGGACACGGTAAGGACTGGATTTCATTCCGGGTAAAATGGGCAGCCCGTGAAGGTTCTGGGCAAAGGAATGAAATGCTGTGCTTCATCACACTGGACACACTGCTCCACAGAGGCTCGTTATTTTCTACCACCTTCTTCAAACCATCACTCGCTGTCATCTATGCTACTGACCCTCAACATACAATTACAACTTCCTGCACCTGACACAGTCACTAGTGACGTGGATATGTCACTTTCCTCCCTTGGCCTCTTTTTCCTCATCTGTAAAATGAATGACTTGGACAAGATCACCCATAGTTTTCTTCCTACCTTTATCATTTTATGAGCCTAGATCTGTGCTGTCCAATACACTAGCTACTAGCCACATGTGGCTATTTAAATTTAAATCAATTAATATTAAAAATTCAGTCTTAGTCACACTAGTACGTACAAGTGCTCCATAGCCACGTGTGGCTAGTCCTCCCGTCGTGGACAGTGCAGATACGGAACCCTTCATCCTCACAGGACGTTCTACTGGACAGTGCTGCTCTGGCTGATTTCTGCTTCCGGCTCATCTTCCTCTTTTCAACCATTCTCTATATTTTCATCTAACAGTTTGTATGGTTTTATTTTCTATATTTACCCTACAGAATGTATTTAACCTTGAAGTATAAGGAAGAAATTTTTTTCTAAATGAATAAATAATCCATCACTTCTCCACTGATTTAATATAACATCTCTACAGTATCATATAATAAAGAAATGAGCAGACACTAAATTCCAGGAAGACAAAAACAGTGTGTCTTTTTATTTGCCACAGTATTGCCAGCACTTAGTATACAGTAAATCTTTAATAACTATATGTTCATTCAATGAATAAATATTTTCCACTCTTATTTATATTTGCATTTGTTTCAGGACATTATATGCTGATCTTTTCATTTGTTCTGGTTCCTATTCCACCCTAGTTACTGTTTTCATTATTATAGATGTATGTAGCCATTTTTTTAATATAGATTTAAGTACTCCCTCCTATTATTCTCCTTTTTTCAAAAAATTTCCAGCTATTTTTCCATATTAATTCCAGTAATCTTAACTGGATGACCTAGAACATCCTGGCTGTAGCCCACCACTAACTCAACATGTCCCTAAAACAGGACCTCATCACTTCCATGGAATCCTACTTTTCAAAGCCCACAGAGTGCCTGAGAAAATCCCTGCCCTCGCTGACCCACATTTTAATACTCAAGCCCAGCACATCCCTCTCCTCAAAATCACCTTGTGCAAGAGACCCTGTCATGTACTGTGACTAAGACTACCCAGTAGCCCTCGTCTTGCCTTCCTCTCAAACCCAGTTCTGTGGAAAAGCTCTAAGCTAGTGGTCACATCCGAACACACACCTTGACCTCAGTGAATCAAGTCCCTACAATGAAGGCTTTCATATCCTACCAAGGGGTCTATTTTTGCCTCTTGAGAGCTCCTGATGGAACACCTAACCCAGAGGGGGTGCTACACTCTTTCTTGAATGAAGATGAAAATGGTGGCTGAGGAAAAGAAAAGGAGGCTCACGGGGCTTTTGGGGACCTCCTTTTACTGGATCTGAGAACACGAGGACCAGGTCACTGAATGAATGGGATTTTGTTAGGCTGGGGAATTTCAGAAGAAAAGCAAAATGTTCATATAAAACCTGAAAAGGCATGTCAGGGAAGACAGAAGAAATGCTTCCTTACCTTGGACATGGCTTTAAGAATTTATGACAGCTCTTCTGTCCTCCCCCTTCAGGCTCCTCGGAGAAGGGCAGTGTCTGGAGAAAACAGAGCTGGAGAGGGAGAAAGAAACCATAAAATGCCAGATCCACCCTCAGCTCCAGGCTCACCAGCCTAGAAACCCTCCTTTCCTTCTCTTTGCCCTTCTCACCCACCACCACAGAAGTAGATTAGAAGTGTCACTGAATTGGTCATTCCTATCTAAATTTACAGTTCTTTTCCTCATGTGCTTTAGATCTTGAGAACGCAATATAAACTTTCTGTGCATAAGTCACCTCCTCATTTATACTTAGAAACAATAACAGTATTTACCCTTCAGAATGGCACTACCAAGTAAGGATTATTTTCCACTTCACACATGAAGGCTCTTCAGTGAAATTATCCAAGGCTTCATGGGAATAAGTAATTGAGTCCAGATGGAATCCAGGTCTGACTTTAGTCTTTCTACCAGGTGATGATGTTGAAAGGAAATATGTCCCCACCCTTTCTACAAAGACAAGAGAAAGCTACAAAGTGAATGCCTCATAGAAAGCATCTTTACAGAGTAGGCATCAGAGGGGTCATGTGGTCCAGAGGACACTGGACCAAAGAGTCAAGACATCCTGCTTCTGGTCCTGGCTTATAAGGGCAAACTGCACCTGAAAACCAATCTTAACTTTTCTGAGAAATTTCCTTAGAGAGAGACGGGGAGGACTAGGCATGAACAGTCATTGAAACCCCTTAATCATGAGTTATTCTCCACTAAATCTCACTGCCTTGGAGAGTAAAGGAGCCTAACTTAGTGGTAAGAACCACTAGGTCTGGGGATCAGAACCCCTGCACTCAAATACCCCATCCACCACTCATTTGCTCTGCAACCTCCCTGGAGTTAAGGAACCACTCCAAACCTCAGTTTCCTCCTCAGTGAAATGGGACCTACTCCCTATCGATTGCTGGGGGGATCACGAGATGATCCACATAAAGCATTTAGCACAGTGCCTGGACATCCTTCAGCTGGACAAATGTCAGTCATTCAGTCATTTATT